CCGACGCGGCCAGGTGTGCTGCTGGCCAGGCCCCGTGCAGTCGGGTCGGGTGCAGTGGGGGCGGAAACAGAATGGGTAGAACAGCACGGCCTGTTGCAACGCGGTGGAAGGCGCTGGTGTGGCGTACAGTGTCGTCTCGTCCAGTCTGATTCGATCGGGTTGGGTCTGGCGCCGCCGCGCTTTGGTGCGCTTGGATCCGCCTTGTCCTGGCTTGGTGATGTCTGGTACCGGCATGACGCGCCGGATTTGCTGTGGTCTATTGGTATACAGTCTGGTCTGGTGAGGCCAGACCTGAGGCAGTTAGGGAGGCGGTGCGTGCCGCGAGACAGCGCCACCCGGCGACGCGACCGGTGGCGTGCTTTCTCATTAGCCTATCAAGCGGCGCCTTCGTGTGCTGAAAATACCGACACGCCGGAGATGCAGATGAGAAAAAGCGGACCGCTGCCCTGTCGTGCAGATGTTGCAGAACATCTAGACGCTGCTCCACGGTTGCCATGGACCACCTGGCTCTGAAATAGCAGTCGGGGCGAGATTTATTGAACCACTGACACGGTGCCCGCCAGGTGGCAGAAAAGGCTGCTCTCTTTTCAGCATCGACGTCTCGCCGGCGCGCCCCGAGGCCGGCTGATGGCGTCGTGTTAGCCGGTGGGCCTGACGAGCCGATCTCATGGCCCCGGGCTCAGGCTGACGAAGGCTTTTTCCTTTCAGGAGAGATCAAGACCTCGGTCCGAGCCGGCTCCTCGTTCAACGTATCCTGGCATCTGGGTACCCCCACCAGGTGAGACCAGCGCCAGTTGCGGCGACTCACCGCTGCCGCCGATCAGCGGCCCACGATTGGCAGTTGTGTGTGAAAGCTGGCTTGGGTGCTGTTTTGTGTGGGTGTCACCCTGGTAAACGCCGATCTGACCTTCAGTCAATGATAAACGTTCTGAAATCATTTGGAGGTCACCGACCTTTCACCTGTGACATTGTTCAACGTCGCGGGTCCGGCACAGTTTTGTCACCGTCAGCGAACTTGATGCCGAGAAATGCACCAACGCGCAGTTGATGCATTTCTCGAGGTCTTCGAATATCAGCAGTTGAGCTCCGTTGCGATGATACTCCGTACGAAATCCCCTCGATTTCTCGGAAAACCTGGCTGGACAACGCTCCGCTGTCCTCCTCCGGCTGGCTGGCGCGATATAATCTCGCCAACAATGATCAGATCGTCAATGGCGTCCTGATGAGCAGTGGCAGAACGGAAGGCCCCTGCTCGGCCACGGTCCCGATTTCGTCTATTACTTCATTCCCGTCTGTTCCTCGGTTTCAATTTGTTGCCCTGTTTCCGTGCCCACATCTCGCACCATCTGGAGGACCGCGTGGCCTCCTGTGGACCCCGAGAGAAATTTCGGCCCTCTGGAGAGATTTCCGTCCTCGGAGAAATCTCACAGAGAAATCTCCCGTCGTGATCGGCTCACTGCCCGGCGACCATACAACACTGGGCTCAGTTTCACCACCATTAGTGCTACTCATCTCGACGGCGACCGGTCATTGTGTCATCTGGCGTCCCCTTCATCCTCCTCATCAGCCTTTATTCGGCCTCAGCCCCCGTCCCAACGTCGCCACCACTCTTGATCCCAGCGGCCGTCTGTTCCCGCTGCTGGACCTGCGTCAGTCCCAGTTCTCCGCTCAGTGCGGCTACCGGCCTGCTCCCGCTGTCGGACCTGCGTCAGTCCCAGTTCTCCGATCAGTGTGGCTGCTGGCCTGTTTCCGGTCGGTGCACCAGCCGCAGCCGACTCCGGCCGCGCCGGCCGCCGGCAGCAGGCGGCGGCCGGCGCGGCTTCGCGCTCTGATTGTGTGCGGTGTGGCGCGCCCGCCACCGCCCGCCGCTGGCACAGCTGCGCCGCCGGCGGCCGACGCGGCTCGCCGCCGCGCGCCGCAGACCGCGGCTCCCGCCTCACCGCCTGGGTCAGGTGTGCCGGCGCCGGGGCGTTGTCTGGACGGGAGCGGCCCTCAAATGGGACAGAGATGTGCGTGTGAGGAACGCCGTTTGTGTGAATTTTGTGAACGAGAAATCCTGCGCCCTGATTGCGTCAGGATTGTTAGAATGGGGGACAGGAAGGTTCAATCTGCATGGTTTTGTTGCCAACTGGGATCGAATTGTGAGCGTGACTGGTTTGGTTCTCGGAGTACATGCAAATTGCATATTGTTGCATGCATCCTGAACACAACATCCCACGGCCCACGTAATGGGTTTCCGGTGAGATCAACAGATTGCGTTCGATACCGGTTGAGCTCAGCTATTCTGGCGCTGGGCACCTGAACTGAATGCCGCCAGGCTGTAAGCCCCACATATGTATCCTTTGGCAGTGGAGGCTGTGGCGGCTGCCGCATTACATGAGACCACTCGTTGACATCTATCCAAGCCCAAGGCATCACTTATCACGTCCGCCTCCGAAGGGGCTGCTAACGGCGCGCTAACGGCGCTGTGTTCGCGCCGTGTTAGAACGCCACGCCAGCCATCACGTGTCTGTCGTTCTCAGGGCGGCTACAAGCTGGAGCTGCTCGACGCCAACGAGAAGGTCAAGATGACGCTCACCACCGACGCCGACGAGAAGGGCTACAACGCCCTGGACACCACGTGAGTGCTGCGAGCTGGACCGGGTGCAGTCGAGTGCCGAGCCGCCATCCTTCTGTCTCGAACTATGCCTGGGTGTAGTCTCACTTCGTTCCGCTGTTCGTGTTTGTCTCGGGTCATGTATGGGTGTTGTCGCGTGCCGTCCCATGGCCTGTGCCTCTCTCAAGACATGTATGGGTGCAGTCGCATGTTTTCCGACGGACTCGGCGAAGAGCAGGGCGGGGACAGGCCAGGTGCAGTTGCGTGATGCGGTGCTGACCGTGGTCCGTGCCATGGTCCGTGCGCCGGTGCAGTTGCGTGCTATGCAGACCCGACCCTCCTCCGCGGGGTGTGGGCCCCAGAGAGGACCGGCACCGGCCGCGCTCGTGCGTGACACGGCAGGCGGCTCGGCCGCCCGCGGCCCCGCCTGCGCGCTGCACGAGAGGGGCCCCGCTCCCGGCGAGGCGCCGGCTGGCACGGACGGTGACGTCACGGGCGCGGGGTACAGGGAGACAGGTCCCGCCGAGCCCGGTGTCTGACGGCACACTGTGTGACTTCCCGATACACAGCGCGCTGGGGTGCGGGCTTCCCACGTCATTGACAGCACCTGCCGGCACGTCCTGGACGGAAGCTCTTCTGCCCATTGAGCGAGGGGCAGGGCCGGGGCCGTTCTCACCGCAGGCACTCTTCAAGCGTGTGCGGATCCTCCTGCATCTGCACGTCACGCTGCCTCAGACATTCCTCTGTTGGCTAGTCATCCATGACCGCACAGCAAAAACCGGCCGATCGCCCGCCACTCGGCGCCACCCAGCGGCGGCGCTGAGCAGCGGAGTCAGCGCGCCTTCCTCGTCTTACCCGCGGCGCGTCGTGCCTCGCCGGCGCCTGACTTTGACCTTATCGCCGCACCCTTGGACCAGATCCATTGAGCGGCTGCGCGGGGCGGGGGCGGGCGTGGCGCGGCGTGGCGGGGAGGGGCGGGGGATGGGCTGAGGGTGGCGCCCTGCCGTGGCCGGTCTCTGCTCCACCCACGGCCGGCGAGACTTACGGCCGGCGCGTCTGCCGGCGCTGCTGACGCAACAGCGTGGGGCCCGCGGCCCGTGACCCGACCGTCGACCCCGACCTCTGCGTGGCCGGACGCGGCGGGGGCACGGCCTGTGCCGCTGAGCACGCCGGCACCAGATGCGGGGCTCGCCGTCTTATGGCGATGGATGCGACTGTATGTGACTGTCACGTTCGTGCCCAGCTTTGTGTCGGTCCCAGGTTTTCGATCTAACTTGTACCCGACTCAGTGTAAATGTATGGATTTAATCGTTTATCTGCACGCCCCCCCCCCCCCCCCGCTGACTGTTCGAAAAACGAAAAACTATTTTGATAGTAAATTCCAGACCTGTCAAGGGGGAAACTGGGAAATTCCCCGAATTTCATCATTGATTCGCAAGTTTCTTTAGGTTCACTATGAATAAATCAGGTTATTTCGTTTCTTGAATTCCTCAATGGACGCAGAGATAATGTTATATTTACGATGTTTACGGCAAGCTTCTCCACCAGCCCGTCCCTCATTGACATCGTCGTCCTCTCGGGGTCATAGACGGAGCACGACTGACACCGATATCAAGTCTCTTGTAATGCCATGGACCTTCACATTCACAGCAACCCGCATCTCGACTTGATATTCTGATTGTAGACAGCACGTGCTCTTGCAAGACATCAAGCTATCAGCAGCCCAGAATGGTCATGGGCTGCCCTGGAATATTGCTATGAATGTGTTATGAGACTTATCACGATGCGCTCCGAGACTCGTGACCAGGCCCTGAGACTAGTCACAATGCCCCTGGGACACGCCACAATGTACCCTGGACTCGTCACTTTGTACCCTGGGACTCCTGGGACTCGTCATAGTAGGTCCCGAGGCTCATCACAATGCATCCCGGGACACGTCACGATGTACACTGGGACTCGCCACAATGCATCCCGGGACTCGTTACAATGTACCCTGGAGCTCGTCATAATGCGCCCTGAGACCCGCCGCAATGTGTCCTGAGATTCGTCACAATGTGTCCTGAGATTCGTCATAATGCGTCCTGAGACTCGTCTCAGCGTGTGGTGGAACTCTTGGCAGTGTTCTGTGAGATTCTCCGTCGTATGCTGGGATGGCCTTCGGTGCCCCGTCTGCCGGGGGGCCGCCTGTCGTGGGCCGGCTTTTGACCTGGTCGCCCCGCTCGCCGGCAGCGCCCAGACCCAGAGGGTGACCATGCCGGAGGGGGTTGAGTGCCTCGACTGCTCCATCCGCCTGATGCGCCAGGCCAGGGAGTTCGGCGACAAGTACCAGTTCTGGAGCTGCGCCGACGTCGACATCATTGGTGAGCGAGCCAACGCCGGTGGGCACTCTCTTTGAGTGGCGGCCACCCAGGCAGGCCAGCGAGTGTTTGCAGCGCCAATTGTGAGCAGAGGAGAGTCTTGAGAGGAGTACACACATGGCGCAGTGGGGAGGTCGGGAAGGGCGCGTGCGGATCGTGCGGAGCGTTGGGAGACCGCGCAGGTGGGTCAGGGCCGTGCACTGAACGAATATGTGACGTCACGGTCGGCGCTAGAACACACGGGAGCATGGTCGCCTGCCGTGCTGCTCACTGATCTGTGAATGTCGTAACTTCGCGTGTGGTGTCTTGGTCTCGGGCTGAATGTCGCGAGTTAGCGGCTCGTTTCGGGCTTGCCGCGGGTTTTTGGTGGATCGTGCGTCGGTCGTGGGGAATTTGTAACCTCAGTCGTCTGTGACCTCAATGGTCCGCGGCCCCAGCGGTCTGCGGCGCCTCAGTGGTGCTCACCACACGCTGTTTGTAAGACCATTATGTAATCAGCAAGACGCGCCCTGTGTGGTTGGTGGCGAACGCGGCGTTTTTGTGCAGATCAGCTGCGCTCCCATGCGCGGTGATCGCGAATCGTGTACACATTCTGTTTTGTTGCGCCATGCATGTGGTGAGGGAGGTCTCTATTGGACCTTTCGTGTTTTTATCTTGCTCCACGTTCCATGTAAACCTTCGCTTTTTTATGCCCACGTGCCTGTTGCTATAGGTATGCATTACGCCGAACTGCGATGAATTCTTTGATTTGTAAAACCTTGCGGGCAGGCTAGATAATTTCGGACTCCACATAAACTCATTTTAGTCAAATACCGTCTCTTTGCGGCAAGTTGTGTTGTATAATTTAGGTATTTAATGTGCGTATTTATTAAGCGTATTTAGATACACATTTTACGAACTGTAGCATGCATAATTTATCATCAAATCCAACATGCTGTGTTGCAGAAAAATTCTCGTCATGAATTATGCATGCAAACCCTTTGCAAATTGAACCACGCAACGCTTTTAAGGTGCTGTCATCATCTGCTGTGACATGCACTAGGCTGTAATTAGCGGTTGCAGGGATGGCGCTGTGCCTGGCACAGGGTGTTATTATGGTAGTGTGATCCTCTCAACCCTGGTTTTTCCGATAGCCGAAGCTAAAACTCACTTGGCCTGAGGACTAGCCTAAAAGAAGTATGCATGACTGATGCATGCAATTTTTGAGAGTAAAAGCAGGTTGCCGCAGATTGCATGCGTATTATTTGACCGCAGAAATTTCCACCCGCTTTGAGCATTTGGTGATCTGAACACGAAGGTAGAGCTGCGCATGACATTTACGTCTACGTCTGCAGCAACAGAGTGCTTGTGCTGAAGAACAGAAAGATGACGAATCATTGGTTATACTTTCGAGTCGTACACTAACACTGAACAAGCTGCACTTGGTTTCGTTGGCTCCAATCTCGTATCAGTCTCCGAAATTTTTGTTCAGTGCTCTAGACTGTGCACCTTGTGTCCTTGCGGGATGAGAAGATCTCATGGGAACAATTTCTTCGGCTAGCTCAATTTGCTCCGGCCGCGACGCTGCGCGGAGGAGTCCATTGGAGGCATTTGGAGATCTATGGGGACAGTTTTTCGGTGAGCTCTGTTCGTTCTTAGGCTTGTTGCGGTATTTCGCACTGGTCAACCTTGAAACATTGCAAGTGATTAATTACTCAATGCACGCACATTGTTTTACCGATTTCGTTCATTGCTTTGCAATGCGTATGAAGTTCGCATCTGGCTTGAGAAGTTTACAGATGTTTGATAACTTGTTTCTGTGTGACTGTCTCTGGAGCAACGGGGGAACATTCAGCTGGCACATTTGATTGCGTGAATCTTCGGCGGGAATTTTCAAGGACAAGAATGGTGCTGTCATCCAACCGGCTTTGAGAAGCGGGACGACTCCCGTGTGGGCGCTGGCGGGACGCAGCTGAATGGCCGACATTCCACGGCGCTCCACGCCGTCATGCGTTGCTTCGGCCGCAAAATCTCAGCTATGGCGCGCGCTCTACACTCCTCCGACGAAACGTCGCCAGATCCTCCCGCGGAGCCCGCTGCGGCCACGTGCCCGTGATGTCAGGGGGACGTGCCGCGACGGCGACGGCTGCGACGCCGACGGACCGCCGACCGCGGCGGCTCCGGCTGCTGCCGGCCGGAGAAAGTGGCCGGCCGACAGAGCGAAGGCCGCGCCGGCCGGCCCCCGGCACGGCCTGCTGGAGACGCCTCGGCCGGCTGCCGAGATGACGAAGATCTGGGGAGCGGGCGCCCGCAGGGAGGCGGCTCTCGGCTTGTCTGTGGCATCACACATACCTCAGGAAGACGGGAGGATATTTGTTTGAGTTGGGCACAGGTGTTTGAGCCGGAGAGCGCGCTTGGCTCAGACAGTTGCCCAGTTAGGCCAGATCCTCGCCTTTTGTGGACCAAAGGTATGCCGAGCGCATCAGCACGCTACGAATTGCCCCAGAAATCCCCTTATTTGGAACGGTGTTGAACACTGGTAATCAGTTCACCGGCTGTCTCTGCTGATGTGACTGACGGACGCTGATCATTGGTGACGTTCCTGGCAGGTGCTCATGTAACTGACTAGTGCTGATGTGATTGCCTAACTACTGTTGATTTGGCTGATGGGTGTTTATGTGACAGAGGGTGCTGACTTGTCTGACGGGTGCTAATGTGACTGGCGGCTACTGATATGACTGGCGGGTGCGACGTGACTGGCGGGTGCGATATCACTGGAGGGTGCTGATGTGACTGGCGGGTGCTGATGTGACTGGCGGGCGATGATGTGACCGACCGGCGCTTATGTGACTGACGGGTGCTGATGTGACTGGCGGGTGCTGATGTGACTGGCGGGTGCTGATGTGACCGACCGGCGCTTATGTGACTGACGGGTGCTGACGTGACTGGCGGGCGCTGAATGACCGACCGGCGCTTATGTGACTGGCGGGTGCTGATTTGACTGGCGGGTGCGATGTGACTGGAGAGCACTGGTATGACTGGCGGGCACTGATATGACTGGCGGGTGCTGATGTGACTGGAGAGTGCTGATGTGACTGACAGGTGCTGATATGACTGGCGGGTACTGATATGACTGGCGGGTACTGATATGACTGGCGGGTACTGATATGACTGGAGGGTGCTGATGTGACTGGCGGGTGCTGATGTGACTGGCGGGCGATGATGTGACCGACCGGCACTTATGTGACTGGCGGATGCTGATTTGACTGGCGGGTGCTGATTTGACTGGCGGGTGCTGGTGTGACTGGCGGCCGATGATGTGACCCACCGGAGCTTATGTGACTGGCGGGTGCTGATTTGACTGACGGGTGCTGATGCGACAACTAGCTCTGATGTGACTGACCGGCGCTGGTTCGTCGCAGGGAACGACTATCGGGAGGACTGCAACGGCCATGGGCGCGCCTCGTTCGGCCGGTGCCGCTGCGACCGCCGCTCCTATGGCGAACGCTGCCAATTCTCGGTGAGCCCCTCTCCCGCCCGGCTTAGCGGGCAGACCTCGGAATCCTCCCACACGGTTGCCACAACAATGCACCGTTACGTGCAGCGTGCACGGTTTCACGGTGCAGGTGATGCTCTCGCCCTCGTGTGCAACCTCCGGAATCGTGCAATTTCTCTGGGAGCGCGGCGCGCGAGGTCGTAATGTTTGTTTGCGCCTCGGACGCCTATGGGCCACGCGCCGACTCGTTCGGTGCGGGTTAATGGGCAGCGGTTTCGCCTTGAGGCGTGCGACTTTTGAGGGCGCTCTTCGCCATTGTTCGCCGCCGCGGCGAGCTGCCTGCTGGATTCACTCTCCCCGGATCTCAACCGTGTTTTGACGACCGCGCGCGCGCGCGGAACGCGCTGCCGACGTTTGTTTTAATGTGTCTACTTTTACTAGAAGCGTTTCTCCGACCTGTGCTGGCCGTAGCTTTAGGTTGCGGCAGAAACTTGCTGCACTTTGTGTGCAGGCTCACATTATAACATGTTAAGGATTTTAGGTCATGTGCAATTTAGTTTTTGCATCAGCCTAGTACGTAGACTATGATTAACGCTCCCTGGTTTCATGTTTGTGGAATCCTTCGCTGGCAGCAGTGCATCCATATAGTATATCTCATTAGCTGGTATGCTGGTATAACGCGCTTGATATGACTAGGATGCCGATCTGATATGTATGGTACACATCTTACGTCCGATATACGTCTGCATCTGCGTCCAACATATCTATCGACTATGCACCTACTGCTTCTCAAATATGTCTGTTATGTCTGCTTCAGAATGAATGTGAGCAAGACTCACATTGCGGGACGTACGGCAAATGCATAGACCTCGCTGCTACCACCTACCCGAAGAAGCAGTGCTTCTGCAGGCTGGGCTTCTTTGGAAAGGATTGCGCTCAGAGGAACCGTAAGACAATGCTTATTGACATCAGCTGATGTCCTCCGTTGGCCAGTTGCTCTCTGCGCAGCGTCTTTTGTTTGGATTATGCGATTGACCGCGCTTCTTCGTTTTTGTTTTCTTTTGTTTTGCTTTTTTTGTTTTGGTATGGCCATGGCCCTCCGTCCCTAAATATTTCTCTTCATTTCAATCGTTCATCGTAAATCTATGCATTTTATTTTTGGTTCCTGGGGCTCCATGTTCCAGCTGCTTTTGGCCTAGACATATTGTGTACCAGTCGGTCTGTTCGAGCTGAGAGCGTGGATGAGAGCAGCCCTGCCAGTGACCTGGGTGGGCGCACGGTCCGGCCCTGCCAGTGACCTGGGTGGGCGCACGGTCCGGACTGCTAATGACCCGGGTGACTGCACGGTCCGGCCCTGCCAGTGATCTGGGTGGGCGCACGGTCCGGACTGCTAGTGACCCGGTGAGTGCACAGTCCGGCCCTGCCAGTAATCTGGGTGGGTACACGATCCGGACTGTTTTGGCTGGTCTTTCCGCTACGCCGACCTGTACCGTTGACGTCAGTCGGTGCCCCCCTCCCCCCCCTCCGCCTCCCCCGTCACGAACCGTTCTCACCGGGCTTGTTTCCAGCGGCGGGCATGCGCAAGAAGATCACCAACTTCGGCCTGTACCAGAAGCGGGAGATGTCACCCGAGTACACGTTGTACTGGCGCGTGCTGCCCGAAGTCTCAGAGATCGAGATGGTGATGCAGGTGCGCGGCGTCAGCTACGCCGCCGTCGGCTGGCGGCCCGGCAGCCTGGACGCCTCGTGCAAGCGGTTCCCGGCATCGAGGAGACGGGGACGGCGTCGGCGCGCAACAGCGGCTCCTACGGGCAGTCCGCGGCTGAGCCCAGCAGCGAGCCCGAGCCCAGCAGTGAGCCCGAGCCCGAACCTGAGCCCGGCAGCGAGCCTGAGCCCGAGCCGAGCGGCGAGCCCGAGCCCAGCAGCGAACCTGAGCCCGAGCCGAGCAGCGAGCCCGAGCCGAGCAGCGAGCCCGAGCCGAGTAGCGAGCCCGAGCCGAGTAGCGAGCCCGAGCCGAGCAGTGAACCCGAGCCAGCAGCGAACCCGAACCCAGCAGCGAACCCGAGCCCAGCAGTGAGCCCGAGCCTACGGGCGAGCACGACCACCACACTGGGCCGGAGTCCAAGAGCAAACCGGAGCCCGCGAGTGAGCCCACGGCCGAACCCGAGCCTCAGGCCGAAGACGTGAAGCAGGAGGCGTCGTCAGGTAATTCACGGATGGATAAGTTCAGGTCCGGTGGGTTCCGGAGCCAGCGCAAGGCGTGGAGGACGCGCGGCACGCCGCCGGCCGCCCGCGCCGCCGCCGCCGATCAGCTGCGACTGCGCACCGACGGTAAGTGACCGGCCCCTGTCGGAGCATGCGTCGACCGACGATTGCCTGCGGCCACTCACCCGACTATGGAAGGCTGCGGTAGCACCACAGACCCGGAGGAGGCGTCGGCCGGTGCCGGCGGCGTCGGCGACGGCCGGGAGGACACGGCTCGCTGTCCTCCCTGCGGCTGCTCTCAGACCCTCTCCAGCTGGACCGGTTCTCGTAGCCTAACCCAGAGGCCCCTCTCACTGCACGTCCGCGCTCTGTAGTCGGCGACAGGTATGTGCAGGGGTTTTGTACATACGGCTTGCCCTCTGACGTCTGTGGCTGGTCACGGCCGAGCGTGGTGACAGCGTGCCCGGCCGGGAGCCGGCCGACTCCTGGCGCCGGTAGACGCTGCCACCAGCGGCCGCGGCCAGATCCCACTGACGCCGGGTCGGCACCTCCGCCTGCAGGAGAGACTGCTGACGCGGCGACAGAACAGTTAACTGGCCAAATTCACAACGACATTAAAAGCATGAGGCGCGAATTATAGTTGCCGGTGGCAGTGAATGAAGCCTCGACCATCTGTGCAATGCTCAGTTAGATTCATAACTAGCTGCGATCTCTCGCATCCATTAGTTACGCGTTCATCATCTGAAGTCAGCTGCCAGCAAAAGCCCGTTACTGCAAATTCTCGTTGGGCTGGCTTTGATGAAGCACACTTTGTAAAAGTACGTAATCCAGCCTGAATCTACCTAAGCACCCTTTTGACATCCCGCCAAGCATGACTCACCAAAATAACACAAAGTTCTCGCATATTTAAACTAGTCTATGGTAAGGTAGTTGGTTTTGGGCTGAGTGCGTTTTGTTACGATTATTTACATTCCATTGAAATCTGTATTGCTGCGAGCATGGCTGTGTGTTTAAAACTTGTCTTAATGAGCGTGTAGCTTTTAACTCACCTGGTTCATTTGATCACGGCACATCGCTTGTGTTTGACTAATTCCTGGGAGAAGTAACATAAGCCACGCACTTTCAGGGCAATCAGAGGTGATTACTCGACAGAAGCGTCAGACCCATGGTGAACCAAACCCGACGAGCGAGCCCGAGCCCAGCAGCGAACCTGAGCCCAGCAGCGAGCCAGAGCCCAACAGCGAGCCTGAGCCCAGCAGCGAGCCCGAGCAGCGAGCCTGAGCCCAGCAGCGAACAGAGCCCAACAGCGAGCTGAGCCCAGCAGCGAACCCGAGCCAAGCAGTGAACCCGAGCCAAGCAGTGAACCCGAGCCAAATAGCGAGCCCTAGAGCCAAAACAGCGAGCCTGAACCCAAGAGTGAACCCGAACCGGTCCAAATCAGACAGAAAACGTAAATGCACATTGACAGTTAAAGGTGAAGTGACTTCCAAGTAACTCAACTGTAATCGTTTCGTATTGGTTCATTACACCCGTCTTCTGAAGCATTGCATTAATCTTCCCCGGAAGTACCCGGCGATTATTTCCTGTTCCAAAAGTGTACATGCGTAGGATGGCCATCCTTCCTCTGTAGCAAACTGATGGAGATGATACTTAACCCTTTAAAGTCGACCGACGTCCACAGTTTTTATAACTTCCTTGTATTTGACGCTAAGGTAATTAACCTGAACAAAGATCGACCATGGTCGCGGCGAGTTTGTGTTTTTTTTGTTTTCGTTCCGCCTCGTTTTCGAGATCTGATCATGCAACTGGAGGTCTAAAGACAGTCCTGCCCCTTTCGCGGAAGCCCCTTCAACGCCCCCGAAACTGGTGGAGCTGTATGCTACCTGGCCGCCGCTCCCGGAGGACGCTGACATCCCCGCTCTCCGCTCCAGCCAAGCAGGTTCAACCTCCCTCGCTGTGGGCTATTACCCAGGCGGTGACTTCCACGCCATGGACTGCACGGACATCGTGCTGGGGCGCGCGCGGGGCAACTTTGGCCGCGTCGACGACTACTACACGCGCGACCGCTCCACGCCCGCGGCGCGACGAGTTCTGGGGCGGCAGCGGCAGCCTCACCGGCAGCATGGCCTACGAGGAGGACGGCATCACCACCGTCGCGTTCCGCCGCAAGCTGGGACGGTAAGGGCGAGCGCCGGATCGGCTGGAGCGCGATCGCCGCGTCCCGGTAGCCTTGGCTGGCGGAGGTAGCGCGCTTTGCCTGAGTGTGGCCTGTCGCATTTGTTTGCCGAGACATAAGGGTCTTTCGGACAGGTTCGACAAGCTGAGTTCTGGCAGGCTCGCTCGCTCGCTCTGTCCAGACTATCCTTGGGACACAGTCTGCTAAAGCACCTCGACAGTGAATGGCATCTTGCGGCTTTCTGCGTGATGTGCCGTGCGTCATGGTGCCGACTTTGCACCGTCATCGACCGGCCCGAGCGCGCAAATACTGGTCCTGTGGGCGTGTGACTCGCCCGTTTCACACCGGCCAGCCGAACGCCTTCTGACCAGCACCGCCCCCCTCGCCACAGCGTCCGAGCCGACCGACCACGCCATCGAGAAGGACCTGATGCGCGTCATCTGGGCTCGCGGCCAGCAGTCGGGCGACTACATGCACCGGCCCAAGTCGGGCCTGGAGGCGGGCAGCTCGTCCGTGCCCAACTTCTACCGGCCGGACGAGGTCAAGTACCACGGCAGCGGGCAGCAGCGCGGCGTGGCGTCCATCGACTTCCTGGAGGGCGGCAGCACGCAGGAACTGTCGCCGCGTGCCTACGATTTCTGCGGCGCCGAGTGGCGCTGGCCGCCGAGCTGCAGCATGGACACGGCCGACTGCGAGTACGCCGTGCGCTGGGAGCTGCTGGAGGCGAGCGACGAGGTGCGCTTCACCGTGCAGAGCGACTCTGACGAGCACTGGACGGGGGTCGGCTTCTCGCGCACGCCCAACATGCCGTCCAGCGACGTGGTGCTGGGCTTCGTGGCCGGCTCCGGCCGGCCGATCGTGCTCGACGGGTTGGCTCTCGGGCCACCTGCCGCCCATCACCGACTCGCGCCAGGACATCTTCAACAAGACGGGCTCGCTGCGCGACGGACGCCAGGAGTTCTCGTTCATCCGGCCGCGCCGGACCACCGACGCCAAGGTGAGCGGGCCGCTCGGCGTGATGCGAGGGCGTGGGACGCGACACGCAAGGTGTGCCGGGGAGGCGGCGCGGGAAAATCGTCAGCGTTGTTCGATAATCGCTCTCTCTGATGAGTGGATGGCGAGCCACGCTCAGCCAGTGCTCTCAGGCCGGTTTGGGTGTGCTGTCTGAAAGCGCCCTTCTTTGTGTTTCTTTCCTTAGACAAAAAAAAAAAAAAAACAGGTGGGACCGATCCCCAGCTGAGCATCCATGGGGCACCACGTGACCCCTCTCTGTCTCATGCCCCGTCCCTCTCCAGGACGTGTCCTTCACGGACGACCAGTGCCTCTACATGCTCTTCCCGATCAAGGGCGGCAACTTCTTGCGCTCTTCGAAGCGATTCGCGAAACACAAGCAGACGCCGATCGTTTCCTCCGAGAAGATCTGCATCAAGTCGTGTGGTGAGTACCATTGCGGAGACCCGGCAGGCTGTCTTCGACATTTGTCTGTCAGTTGCACTGTTCCCATTGTTTCTATCTCTCTGTCCGTCCATCTCTCTCCTGCGGCCGGCGCCGTCCACGACCAACGTGACGTGACCTTAGTTCATGGAGGTCATGCCCTCTTCATGACCTAGCCGCACGATCCATCACCTGGCGGCTTTCTCGTGGGAAAAGGTGACGTCACAGGCGAAGAGGAGCCGAGCGGCGTCTGCGCTGCAATTAATGCATCGTTACGTGGAACAGGGATCTTACTGTTGCCTAGTGATCTACCCGGGAGCATAAAAACGCCCGGAAATATTATTTTGTGGAATGGATGCTTCCAGTTACCGAGGCACTGTTTTCGTCTATGCAACAATCTTCTGTGGCATTTTTATTGGAAGCCCAAAGCTGACGCTTAGTGCTTGGCACGTTCGATAGAATCAAATACATTCGTACATGCCTTTTTCGAGCAATATTACACAGCATACACGCAGATGTGTACATATTTCGTCACGCATATCTATGATGATACATAAGATATGATTGTACATACGTAAATGGAAAAGTTAATGCAGAAATCAATATTTTCCAGAAATCGTGGCGGTAGGGCTTTTTCGTCGAACGTTTTGCACGAACGTATCACATGTTCGCAACATAAACCAACACACTGAAACATCCCTGCGCAGAACATTGTGACCTATTGACATTTTAATGATGTTCTGTACGTATGACAATGAGAGTCAAATGCAAAGGCCCTTAACTTTATAGGCGTTGGAACTGTGGCTGGTGGGGGAGCAGTGGGTCCCATGGCACCCCCAGTTTCCGGAAATACCGAACATTTACTCGGCAGGGCTCGGTATTAAAACATGACCAACACATGCCGACGCATTAAAGTGTTCCCAAAATTGGTCTTGGCATCCCCTTGTTGAGGCGTTCCTTCGCCTGTGCATAAATTTTTCATGCCTTAGGGGGCACAGGCTATTCTTTCCCATGTAGCCAGCGGGAGCACAGCGGAGATGGTCTTATGTGACGCGTTTGCGCAACACTAAGCCCTTCGTCATGTCCAGTTTGTGAGGATGGCCTAGAGCCTGCCCGGCGTGTGCTGGAGGGCGGCCAGAAGCCTGTTTGTCGTACCCGGACGGCAGGTGACCTTTGGAAGCATACGCAAGGTGGCGAGGCTGGCAGCTGGGATAACAATGGGCGGTGATGGTGATTCGACTTTGGCTGGCCGACCCAGCCGGCACTTCTCTTGACCTCAGTCTGACCTTTGACCGGTGGAGGACGGCCGCCGGCCGCAGGGGGAGAGCATGACCCCCTGACCCTCCTCACGCCGCGGCGTCTGGTGACTCTCTTCGCGTGTTTCTGTCGTAGCGAGCTGGACTTGGGGCGCCTGGCCGGGTCGGGTTGGCCCTCACCTGTCCGGCGCCTGCGCGCCTGCGCAGCACGCGGCGCCGGCTCTGTCGGGGGCTGGGCACGTGGCGGCGCTTGTCCCTCCCGCGCCGGCGGCGGCAGGCGGCGCGCCCGCGGTGACGGCCTCTGCTCTGTGTGTCGTTGCAGTCGGGCCCGCAGCTGGGCAGACATCAGGGCGACAGTGGCGCCACGCCGCGGCCGGCCGCCGCAGCCGCCAGCGCCCTCTGTGCGGCCGCCCTCCTCCTTCTCGCGTTCGCGCACTAGGCCCTACGAGGCGGGCCCTTCGGGTGGGGTGGGCCGTCCTCATCGCGTCGGGTTCTGTCGGTCATCCACCCTGGGGACGGCCGGCTGTAACGGTTTCGCACAAAAGTTTGTCACAGTCAGCAGCTTAGCAGATTATTATACCGATATAGGGCACAACGGCAGCAGGAATAGAGACCTCAGTAATTCACACCAGAATCATAATGCCACGTAGCAACGCGCCCATGCCTGCATAATCGCGGAAAGGAAAGCCGTCGGAGGGTGGGGAGTTTACAATGACCTAGCCGGCCACAACAGCTGGCGCACCTTCGGGCGATTGTAGTTCCCGTGGTCAGGTGCGGTTCCTGCTACCGGCCTCGTGACACGGGTAGGTGCCAGAACGGGGTGATGTGTCGAAATAATTGCGTCCAAAAGCTGTGAGCTTCCCACTACGTGTGTTTATTGTTCGTGCCGTGCACCACTTAGGTAATGTTAGCAGTTTTAGTAGCTTGCCATATGTCGCTGTGTTATTCTCGGCGGTCGTCCGCACCTGATGCCCTTAAGGTCGTGCTGCAGCGTTTTCCCAGCCACGCTGGACTAGGAGCTGCGCCTGGCATTTACCAGCACGTCCGGCGGTGTTCAGTTTCAGCACTGTGCGTGGTGGGAGATCGGGGTGGTGGAGCATGGAGCTGGTTTTCGCCCACTTGTGTACTAGCAGCGTTCTTTTGCATGCCACATCTGTCGAACCGCGATCCCAGGTCCCGGGAGGCGGGAGCGGGAGCGGGAGCGGGGGCAGATACCTAAACCTCATTTTGTCGAGCTCAGGCTAGAGGACAAACGCAACAGCTTTGCGCATTTTATTTACAAACTGTCACGCGAGCGACTCCCATTGGGCGGCGCTATCCGGGTCTTTTGTCGCTTTATGTGTTGTCTACGTGACCACTTATCTCTGCTGGTGTAGGTACAAGATACGACCACCGCTGTGTCATTGGGCGGGAGTCAGATCTAACTTGTGTAACGGAGAGAGCCTGCAGATTAGTTACAGTAGTAAGGCGCTCTGCGAACAAATATTTGTCTGTGTCGTAGGAATCACGTATTGTGTAATAATCAAAGTCCAGTGTCATGTATCATGCTTAATGGAGCGAAAGTTTCCATGGTAATAAAGATTTGATTGAGAGTATCTAAATTATGTGCTGATTTGTTCGATGTACGGCATCTAAGGATGGCTTCTTCATAATCCAAGGTTAGTACCAACCAGTTTTTCTATCCAATGCTTCCTGTATACTTTTCAACCAAGCACTGCATCATATTTTTAATGTCGCAGAAATCGCATTGCTCCTGACCGCACGCTGCGCACCAAAAGCTCCCATGGATAAAAGATTCACCGAAGTGTTCCGAATCTCTGAAATGATTGGGAACGTTCGTAATAACGGCTCTAATAATATTCTGCATTTTGGTGAGACCTCTCGGACGATGTATTTACTGAACTTTTCTTCATCTTCCCAGAAGGTTCGGTATTATTGGGTGCATGTAGTACATGATACCATGGTGGCTGTGTTGACGTCACTGCTCATCGTTGAGTTCGTCTCCGTATATCGTTCAGTTTAATTGGTGCGTCTGAGGTAGTCCCTCACGATTTACGCATGCCGAGGGCCCGGCCAGTTCCGTGGAGGAAAGGCTTAATATAAATTTGCACGTTGCCCTTTGTTTACACTAAATGCCATACTGTCAGAAACTTGATCTGACATTTCGATCCACTCTGGGAATATTTAACACAAAGTGGAACACATGAACTCACTACGTGACGACTAGCAAGTGTGCGTCAGTTTTTTTTTTGCTCTATTTCCGTTACGTGACGTACAGTTTGAGCGTTAACACTGCCTGAGCACAAATTATGCACTGATGTCTGAGTGTGGTCTGTCGGTATTTGTGTTGGTACTCGACACTTGCGTCGATACTTGCGTCGGGACTTGCGTCGGTACTCGACACTTGGGTCGGTACTTGCTTCGGTACTCGACACTGGCGTCGGCACCAGGAGAGCGACTGGTCGCTGGTCCGGTGGCGCCGTCTGCCGCTCCTGACCGCCGGACGCTGACCCGCCGTCGCCCCCTCAGCCAGCCTCGAGCCGCTGCTGGACAAGGACGGCAAGCCACTGCCGCCGCCGCCGCCGCCCAACGTTGAGTACGACGTGGAGCTGAAGCTGCGCGGCCTCGGCGACACGTACATGCTGCCGACGCCCGAGTCCGAGGAGTTCGAGGTGCTGAGCGAGCGGATCCGGCGTGACGTCATGTCCCTGCTGGAGACGGTGCCCGGCCTGAAGAGAATCCGCGTCACGCAGTTCCAGGAGTGAGTGGTCTTTCGGCGGGGTCGCCCGGCTGGGGGAGTCAATGGGCTGATCAGTGGGCCGGGGTCGGGCGGTTCGAGGAGTGAGTGGGGATGTGGGCGGGCTCGCCCGGGTCGAGGAGCGAGGCGCGTGGACAGGCGCTCCCAGGTCCTGCGGTTACTCGGGCAGTGACGCGTGCCCGACGCTGCTGGGGTGTTACGAGCTCTGTGACAGTGCCCCCTGCCCGTCTATAATGCGAAGCGTGCAGTTCCTAGCTCTACTCCACGTCTGTCATGGTTGTAATGCATACGAGTCCCGTATATTTAAGTTTAAAAGTGTTTTGACGTCTAAGAGCAGCTTCTTTGAGGCGCCAAATCACAGGACGGAAGTACCTTGTTGCCGGTTATTGTAAACGCATTTCCAACTCACCAATACGTAGATGTGCCTCCGTAGTGGTGCCCCACCCTCAATCCACACACACAGGCCGACCTTTTGAAATACGCCTGCGCCCCGTGTGACCGGCCGTCGCCAGCGGCGCTGTGTCCTCATGCCCTGTTGCAGTGCCGTGTCGTGTGCCTTGTCCTCATGTCCTGTCGCAGTGCCGCGTCGTATGCCGTGCCTACCGCCCCGCTGTAACTCCCCCCCCCCCCCTCGCTCACTAGCGATGCCGGGAACGTGGTGGCACACATGAGCGTCCAGGTGGACCGTAAGCGGATGGCTAAGGAGCTGAAGCGCGTGGAGGGCGGCGAGGAGAAGCCGCGAACCGTGGAGACCGTGCTCACCGAGTCGGTGCCTACCGGCATGGTGGGCAACCTGCAGGTCAACCCACAGTACCTGGTGGTGCAACCCAGGAAAGGTGAGCAGACGCGCCTCTGGCCTGGTGCGGGCATGCCTCCCACGTACATCCGTGATGCAAATAGTGTTATTGAGCTTATGGCAAGTAGCGTTTTATGTTGGTTTCTTTGTACTTAAACGGTAACAAGGGTTCGGGTTTGGTTTCTTTTGTAAAACCAAACTTAGATAATACGCGTTAAGATTATATTTTTGAATGAAGGTTTGCGTCGTAATAATTCTAGACATACACCATGTCTTTGGATACTGCATGAGTCAGGAAGCTGTGGATGGCACAAACCCAAATGGGAGATAGGTGGCAAGGGCGTGGCCGCTGTGTGCAGTCGGTTAACGCACGGCCAATGTCCAACATCTGCAGTAACATCTGTCTGCAGCCGGCCCAGGCGAGCTCCGTGCCGACTATGCCGCCTGTGTGCACTGCGTGTGCCGAGCCCCGCCTGACGCCGCCCGAGATCCGCTGTGACCGCTGGCTCCGACGGTAGCCTGTTGTGGACCTCTGCAGTCCGTTCTGGCGCCGGGTCAGGCGGATACCCCGCCCCCGGCGACCCGTCGCGCCGCCGTGCTCCGGCGCCGCGCCGGTCACGGAGCACGGGATCGCACGTTGACGCCGCCCGCGCCGCCGCTCTTCGCAGAGGCGCGCAGCCTGGAGGCCAACGGCCCGATCCCGCAGGAGCAGTGGGACAGCGAGCTGATCAAGATCTACATCATCCTGGCGGCCGTGGCCGCGCTCATCCTGCTGGCTATCGTGCAGGCGGCCTGCACGCTGGCCAGGAACCGGCGCGCCTCGCCGCCACAGGCCAAGCCGCACGGCAAGGTCAGCAGTCCACCGGACCGGGCCCGCAGCAGCGCCATGTCCAGCGCGGCGTCCGCTCTCAGCGCGGCGTTCTGCTGCGGCGCCGCGCCACTCAGAGCAGCGCCTGTGTTCGCCGCGGCGCCGCTCAGAGCCGCGCCTTTGCTCGGCACGGCACCGCTCAGAGCTGCGCCTCCGATCCACGCAGCGTCGCTCAGAGCTGTGCCTCCGTTCGACTCAGCGCTCTCTGGCTGTGATGCCGGTCTTGTTTGCTGGCCGACGGGCAATGCTCACCGCCTTCCGCTCCTGTCTTGAATTGAAGCCGCCTTGAAACACATGTGTTGGCCACCTGGGTGAAGACAGCAAAGCTACCATTCCACGCACTTCTCATTTGCCACTCACTGCGCATGCTTTATGGACGGGGGAGGGGCAGTGAAGCGCTCAATTTCAAATTAATTTCCAGATCGAGACCGTGTTTGTTTCGAATCTAGCCCTCTTCGTGGTGTATGAAACGCGCTGGCACAAAAAAAGAACACTTCTAATGCAAATCAGCTTAAATGTGCGTGAGCTGGTAGTCGCGTCTCCACTTGGCTGCATTTGGTGACACAGCGTACTCATCACCCGAGGACGTACATTTCACCGCCGTGCATCTTGCTCTCTAGGTATCGGCTCAGTCCTACATGTTTTTCTGAATGCCCTGTGAGTAACTTCTCCCTTCAGCACATCTTCGCACTGCTTTCATGCCCGCCTGTTGGGCAGACACGCCGGGTGACGGGTAGAGTTAGTGGGCATAGATAAGCATGCAGTTAGCTGCACCAGAGGTGAGGATCGACCCAGAGGATCGTGTTATCCGTAAGAACTGAAAGCACGTCACGGCACAAGCTAGGCGACTGCACTGAGAACAGGCTTATGGAGCTTCCTCGTGCCTTCTGTCGTTCAGTTACGTATCAACGCTGTCGAAGGCTGGAATTCTGTTTGTTTCCAGTCCGTTTTTGGGAGTGTGTATGCCTGCTTGATGGCGATATCCTCACCGAACCCGCCCCTGTTGGCATTTTTGCCCTGCGTGAGTTCTGCCAGATGATACGAGTGACACCTTCGTGATTCCGCCACCGGCTTGCTCGTGTACGTGGGTCCAGATCCGCTACCAGGGGTGCCCTTTTTGACTTCTGCCGGCTGCTGCTCATCTAGTGAGCTTGCCAGATATGCAGCAGCCGACAGCCAGATGGTATCCTCTGTAGCCCGTCTTGTGTATCGGTGTCCGTCGGCGGTGTCCTCTCCAGCTCGTCTTGTGTATCGGTGACCGTCTGTGCACCTCTCTGATGCCTCTCGTGCCGCTCTTCTCTACCTGTCGAGTCCAGGCAACGGTAGCGCCCTCTCTAACCCGCCCGCTGCGCCGCAGGACCGCCTGATCACCAGCTCGGCCTGGCGCGACATGGCCGCGCACAACAACTACGGCTACGAGAGCTTCGAGCCGGACACGGCGACGACTGGCCGGCCGAGCAAGAGCCGCGGCCCGCCGCCGGGCCAGCCGGCGCCGCCGCCGCCGCCGCCGCAGATGGTCGAGACGCGCTCGCTGCAGCGGCCGCGCTCGGGCCCGGCCGGCGGCGCGCCGCGCTCCAGCTACAGCCTGCCGCGGCCGGCCAGCCAGTTCTCGGCGGCCAGCTACCAGCCGGGCGGCGAGCGGCGCGCGCCCGGCGCCGCCGCGCCCGACTTCTACTTCATGCCCAGCCAGCGCAAGTACTCGGGCGAGGTGGTGCGAGTCTACGTGGACTATAGCAAGCAGCAGTGAGCCGGCCCGGCCCGAGCCGGGTCGCTGACGCGTTAGCTAGGGGGTGGGGAGGGGAGGGGAGGTTCGGCGCGTCGGAAGCTGTGGTCTACAGAGCGGCGTTGGCCGGACCGGCGAGCGTCCGCCGCACCGCGGGCGGTCCGCGGACCACGCCTCGGCAGGCGACCGCCGCTCGCTCTCCCGGCGCGGGGTTTGGCGGAAGGGACGGCGCCGGCGTGAGCGCGAGGCACGGCTCTGCTGCGTGACGGCCCTGTCCTCCTCCGGGGCTTTCGTCACGGTCCAGTGCGCTCGGCTATTGTGGCGTGACTAATTGAGAGCGAGTATTAGAGGACGGCGGCGGCTCACTCGCCGCGCGGGACCGTCGGGACGGTGAGCTAGGCACTCCTGCGGCGGGCTACCGCGCGAGTCGCCCGGACCGTGCCGGGGGCCGTCCGCTCCCCCGGAGTTGCTCAATGGGTCGGCTTCCCTGCCCCGTCGGGGGCCGTCCGCCAGGCTTCAGCGCGCGACGAACGGCGACGTCTTCGCGGTGCGAGCTGACGACGCGATCAAACGCAGACACGCTGCGCCTAAATACGGAATTGTTGCGTGCTCACGACACGAACTTGAGACTTGTCCGACGTGGGTTCGATGCGTGTCCAGATGTCAGCCTGGATTGTGTCCCGATGCTAACTTGGACACCCGGGGGCCGGCCTCCTTCCTCCGGCTGACATATCGAGAATGAGGAGGTGTTGACGCCGGGGGCGTGAACATTTTACGTCTGTTTTAGTTTGTAATTGATTATGACCTTTGACCAGTAAATGAACTCGACTTTGAATTTGCGCCAGACGGTGAATATCGTACTTCCTTTTGTGCTCTGGCCGTTGTGAATAGCCTACAATGCATCGAACGAGCACATCATCACGCCCGCGTCGTGTTGTGATTATGTAAAACACGGTCTCCCATGTGAATATCATGTAACAAAAATGCGTCATGAACATAAGCTTTCGGTACTGTGAGCGTGTGAATGGGTGCCTGCCGCATGATTGACAAAAATAAATCAATGACGTAAGAGAGCACCGCGCTGCGTGCAGACAACACAGGACGATTCTCATCCTTGGAGCAGGCCATCGCGGTGAAGCCGAGGTAAATTACCGGTGCGGGCTTATAAATCACAACAGATATGTGCAAAGGAAGACGACTGAGTGCACGTGGTGTCAACAGCCGCCCGGTATGACTTGAGTGCTAGGCAAAGTATTCGCTCACGTTGTGGCCTTTGTATTTTTCGTACCAACTATTTGAGCTGTTTTCAAACGCAATCACTCTCCGGGCGCTATGCGCTCATAAAACGCACTTAACGAGTGATGTAATGAACATATAAATAACATGCTTGATACGAAACTCCTCAATTAGATACGAATGCTACGAACGTACGTCGGTTACAAAAATAACTAGAATTTTGACCAGATTCCGCTGGTATCACGTCCTGCTAGCGATTTCACCTGGCGGCTCATGTGGTCTGACCGCCTGGGGGGGGGGGGGTCAGGGCACATAAGGGAGGGGGGGGGGGTCAGAGCACATGAGGGAGTGGGGGGGGGGATACAGTTCCGGACACATCCCGCGGGAGTGGCCGTCTGTGTGGTATTCACTACACAATGTCGACATTAGCGTGGCACCAGCGGACCATCACGACTGCCAATCGGTGATGCCACGCATGAGGCGCAGCACGCCACGTTAGTGCGGCTCTGCTGGGGACGAAAAACATGCCTGATGCCTATGGATCCTGGAAGGTAGGACTCAAGGATGAGGAATTTTACCATCTCCAGGCGGTAAAAGCTCCGGGCGTCAAAGACGTCAGATGCTACCTAGTGTTGTGAAAACGGCGCAGTGAAACCAAAAGCCGCAACGCGTAAAGAGTCAAATGTCCCACCGTCTCAGCACGGCCAAAGGCTTTCCGACAAAATCGGGTGTTCGAATCCAACAGCAAAGGTCCGAAACGGCAAGTTGATTCACAAAACTGCTAGTAAACGATAGACAGACACCGGCGTCCGAGAAACTAGCACTCCCCTGAACGAGTGGTCCCTGGCCTGGGCCATAAACAATGCTCTGGTGCCCCTCGAAGGTCCGTCGCCTTGTAACATTGCCCAGAGCTAGAGTGACGCAGCTGTGCCTGAATCAGGCATTGCCGAAGTCGGGGCGAGAATCATGAGATTTCTTAAATTTGGAATGGTATGCACACACCACGCCGCTCAACAAGCGCGCGTCCCTCCATATTTGAGAACCTCTCACGACTAACGCCAAAATATACGCAGCACCTCACCCTCGGTGCACTAGGACGCCCCAGTCAACAGTTGAGAAACCCTAATGAGCAAAGCTGGCGCCTTTGCAAGCAGGGAGCTTGGGGCCCCTCCATCTCAACACGGGTCTCGCTTCGTGTCGTCATCACGGATTAAGCGGGCCCCCCGAAAAAAAAACAGGCCGAAAAACACAGTGTCAGGCTGTCCCGAGGTCCCAACGATGCCAAAACAACACAATTGACACCACACGTGTTTTATAACGGTATATTTAGTCACACATGTTAACACGACCCTTCAGTGGGTACTGGGTACACATGCAAGCACCAACGGGACATGCGCCCGGCCAGGCACGAACGCCATCGCGCTGTAATTCACGTCACACCACCGCGTCTGGCCGGGGAGGGTTCCACCAAGCCTTACCGGGTCAGAGGGCGGCAAATCGATCACAAACGCACCTAGTTTACAGTGCTTCCCCATAACTATTAATCACGATCAGTCATCATGCTCGGCTCAGCCGCAGGCGTCAGCATTTGCGCGTGACGATACAAAACAGAATCCTCTCACCGACAAAAAAATCACCGACAAATAATGACGCTAACTCATCAACTCAACACAGCCCGGCGCGCGTAAGCCAGTACGCGCGGCGAGTCGAGACCACAGCGACATCGAACACAAAACTCCACAGGCGGAAAGAAAGACCGTGGGCGAACGCAGCGTAGCGGCGAGCGCGGCGCCTTTCACTGCACGCGGGGTCAGCCGCCGCTGACCATGTGGCGGCCCCCGCTCGCGGAGGCGCCGCCGGCCAAGGCCCCCGCTCGCAGAGGCGCCGCCGACCAAGGCTTTAGCTCGCGGAGGCGCCGCCGGCCAAGGCCCCAGCTCACAGAGACGCCACCGGCCAAGGCCCCAGCTCGCAGAGGCGCCGCTGACCGCGGCCCCAGCTCGCAGAGGCACCGCTGACCAAGGCCCCAGCTCGCAGAGGCGCCGCCGACCGCGGCCCCTGCTCGCAGAGGCGCTGCCGACCGCGGCCCGGCCGTCGGCGCCGGGTCCCGTTTTGACCGGTCGGCAGCAGCGGTAACCGACCGGCGACTGCCGCCCATGGCCCCCGGCGGGTATCACGTGGCGCGCCCGGACCGGCTGGAACGAGAGCAGAGCAGGCACGGTCAGACGCGGGCTGGTGCGGCGAGTCTGCGCGGCGCGGCGAGACGCGGCGCTTGTCAGACCACTGCTGGCGCACGGACGGGGAGGTGTGAACAAACAGACACAAACAAAAACACACAGGCATCAACAGAGACACAAAGACATCGACACGGATCGACAGACTGACACAAAGAGACATGCTGCACAAGGACGGACTGACATGTTGTACAAGCATCGTTTGCTAGCAAATTGTACGACGCTTCACATCCGAGGGTACCTGATATCAACGTGATGTCCCGTCTGCCCATCCTAGTTCCTCGGCGCCACCCCTCCCCATATTGAACTGTCCAGTACCACTGGGTGGGCTCAACCGTCGCTCCGGTATCTTCCCTCCCTCCCGGACTAGACCTCTCGAGATCAGTCGTCGTTTTCCCAGCCTCTCGGAGCCAGCCTTCGTCTGCCTCCAGCTCCCTCCAGAGTCAGCCGTTATCTCCCCTCCCTCCCGGACCAGACCTCCCGGGCCCAGCCACCGTGTTCCCAGCCTTCCGGACCCAGCCTTTGTCTGTCTCGAGCTCCCTCCGAAGCCAGGCGCCGTCTCCCCTCCCTCACGGAGGCAGCCGCCGCGGCTGCCGGTGTCGGCGCGCGCTCGGCTGCCCCGCTCACGGGCCGCTGCCGTCCGTACCGCGCCGCCGGCCCCGCCGCACCGCCATCCGCCCGCGCGCCCCGTCACCCCTGTCGGCCCCGGCGCCGACTCGGTGCTAGTCTGCAACTGAGCGCGGTCGCTGCAGTCTCCGCCGTCCGAGCCGCGCTGTGCGCCGGTGGTGGTGTGCGCCTGTTGAGTAGCTGCAGTCTCCGCAGGTCGCGGCGGGCTTGGCCGCAGCGAACGGGCGGGACGAACGGGAAATGGATGTCGTTATGAGGTGGTCCCGGGCAGGTCATATATCGATGTCAGATGAAATGAGATATAGACGGCTTATCACCATCAGACGGAAAGAGCAATTGGCCCAATGAATAAGTTTCAAGTAAGCGACTTTTTGTGTGTGTTGGCCACATGAGACTGGACCGTTGGTAAAAACGAGCATTTGATTCGAACATTCGCTTAAGTCTATCTCACAAAAAGTTCCTAATCTACCGGAAGCAATAACACTCGGCGGTGTCCATGTCCAGGACGCGATGCACACATGATAAGGTAACAAAATCGGTTTCCGTGAGCACACAAATTGCGTACCAAGCAACGGCCAGGCCCAAGTTCAGAGGTTTCTGTTTGGAAGAGAAAGATTCAGCGAATCATTACTGTTAATGAATAATCCGGAACCCATCAGCTCATCGGAAACCTTCCCCACCTGCAGGGATGCAGTGGGTATTACACAGCACGCGCTTCATCCCCGTTATTGATAAGTTAGATATTCGCCCATTGCTCATGGCGTGTGGACGGTGCATCTGAACATTGGAAAGGCCAGGCCAAACACTAATGTTGCATGCTTTGGTTTTCCTAACGGTTCCTTTCGCAAGTTCCTCGTAAGCGAAACGTTTGTAAATATGAATATTTTCAACAGACATCCGGTATGTTATCCGGTTTCCCCATGTACGGAA